ACACAGAAACTTCTTGTTATTTTGAAAGCAAGGGTAAAAAAAGTCACCCATGCAATTCTGTTTCCTATTTACTGCGGCATATAAATAAATAAACCTTAGAGCATTATATCGTACAGCACTGACCCTAAACTCGAGCTAGATATACTACAGGGAGCAACCCCAATTTGGTGGTGGCTGAAAAAGGTGACCTGTTAGGTCTTTCCATCTCTGACAGCCATTATCCTTTGAACCATGGAAGAGTTACTCCAGCGGCTGAGGCACCACATAGCATCATTTCAAGGGGAAGGCTCCAACCAAACCAAATGCATTTTGATGACAAAAATAGTGACATGGTGAATTCCTCCTCTGATCTATCTAAATTGCTTTAATAATTTCTAGCATAACAAATATATTTCTATTTTATGAAAGAAGAAATACTGGAATCCACCAAAATACTGTAATCTACAAATAATCTAAACCTCCTTAATCAGCTAAAGCTTAATATTATAATAATGTTGCTGTAAAAGCTCTTTTCCTTTAAATAATATCTGAAATATTTCATCAGTAAACACAGCAAAACCCCATGGATAAACAAAGTAAAGGTACAGAAGCAAGTGAAACAAAATAGTACATGACTTTGCAATTCAGTGATGTAGTAGCTTTTGAACTGCAGCCAAGGAGGAAAGGGTAGTGGAAAGAAAATCAAATGCATTCTACAGTAAAATATCAGGTATTGTGATAAATTGCTTTTATGCCTCCAATAATTGTAAACATCATACAGCTTCATATTCCTGATATGCTTGAAGAGATCTGCAAGACTTTTTCTTGTATTACCGAACAGCATCAATTTCTAGTCTATTTTGAGAAGAAATTCGTCTGGTTATGTTACAAGCAACTTAAAGCAGTTTGTTCACAGGAGCTGAAAGGCTGAATTTTAGCCTATTAGACACGGTAATAGAAGCAAATGTGAGCGTTTCATCCCAAACTCAATTAAATAGTGTCTCCCAGTGGTGGTAACCAGTATTGCAAACTTAGAAGGGGTAAGTTTAGGACTAACTGATATTCAGGGAGGAAAAAAAAAAGCCGAACAGTTTAGCTACCAAACGCAGGGAGTTTTTACTCGCTTTCTCGTAAATTAAGGCAACAAATCGTACTTCAGAAGGGCAGCTACATAAAAAAAAAAAAAAAAAAAAAAGCTGTGAATACTGACCTTGATTTTATAGTCTTTTGCTCAGAAAATAGAGGCAGCTCCTCTTCACAGCTGCTTATTCCTACTGTGTAATAGGAAAGGGGCTAAGTCCCTAACGGACACCAAGTATCAGCATCCAGAGTGCAACTGGGCATTATATTTTTCCTTATGACTGCAAGGAATGGTGTATTAAGCTCGAGACCATTCTAGATGTAAGTACCATTTTTACAATATTTGACTTCTAGCAAGGCAGCAACACAGGAGAAGCAATCTCCAAGAGAAAAGACAGCATTTATTCAGTTTTATATAAGTTAGAAGCAGATGCTGAATTGCCAGTTGCTTCAAAATTGCTTTAAGAATGGAAGAACCAACTTTAAAGATATGCTTTAAGATAATCAAATCTTACCATCTTCTGCCTCAGCAATAGAGTTCTTGGAGAAATAAAGAAAAGAAAAAGGTCTTTTTCAAATGGAAACATATGATTTCTATTGATTCCACAACTATGTGGATCCCAGACTTTAATACTCTGTCTCTTGTTTGTGCTACTCCATCTTCTTCTCTTTAAACAGCCTGTATTAGACCTCACAATTTATATAACCCCATCTTTAGGCTCTCAACTGCAGAATTTTTTATAAGCACAGTAGCCAGCCAGAATATAATTTGCTATATACATTGCTATTTATTCTTCTGTCACCATCTTAAACTTGGCTGATAAAGCCCAATTTAGCCATCCAGCCCATCTCACAACAGGAGAGAGGGGGAAGGAGGAAAGAAAGCATAACAACAGGTTTACAAATCTGTGGAAGAAGTCCCTTTGCAAGAAGAAAACCCAGTAGTTGCTTTGCCAGGGCAGAAGTGAGGTGTATCAGAAAGTGACAGCTGGCAAATACTGGCAAGCAGATGAACACTGAATGGCCAACAATATATCATGCCTATATTAGAATACCTGCTCTTGTTTTGTGCATGTGTCATTTCCACATGTAGAAAACTAATAACCTACATAATAAACGTCTACTTCTGCATTTGAAATGGGTCTCCTCAACCATACTGGTTTTAGGTATTTGTTAGATGAGTCAGTCTTCAAGATGGGAAACTTGAGCCAAAAGCTGATATTCTCCAATGCCCTGAAATGGTTCTTTGTCAAAATATTGAGCAACTTCCCTCAAAAGGTGCTACACTGGAATTCCATACTGTATCACTCAACATGCTTTTCCAAGCAGGGAGACCTCCTTGGAGGCTCACACTTCCCAACATGGGCAAGAACATGCCACTGAACTTCAAAGACACTTCTCTCATTCACTTAAAATAAAAGCTTCTCTAGCACTCACCGGCGTTATCCAGGGCAGCACTGTACGAAGTAAGGAATACTCTATGAAAAGAATATTTGTATTGCTTGCTTTCTGTTCTACCATGCTTTGTTTCCCAGGCACTTAATTAAGGAAAACCTCATGATGAAACACATAGCACATTATTGTGCAGCTGCGCTGTCCTCCACCTTCATTCTTCAACATTTAATGATTGTCCAATACCATTACTCACTTTTGCAGCTTTTATTTTAAACCAATTAAAGATGCTATTGTTATCCCCTTAGTTTTGGCTGTCCTTGCACAAACTTCTTGCCATGTAGGAAGACAATTGCTAGATGAGCATTAAAGTTTGTCTCTGATATCACTGGACAAACTCAGTTATTAAATAAAGCATAAGCAGTTCTCTTGGCTTTCATGTCTCAACCGTGCTTTTTACTCACATGAGGTTGCTCTCCAAAAGAGGAAGAGAATTTTAAACATTTTCTGTCTAGAATATTAGCAATAAGCACACAGCCGTTCAACATCAGCAGTGCATGACCTTAGCCCAAAAGTCTTCTATTTTTCTCTGTGAAAGAGGAAACATTTGAGAGCAGTGATCTCAATTTTATTTAATTAACCTTCATTTTATTGCAGCCCCTGAATAGCACAGAGCAAGCACACTGATCTGTGCTCTTTGCTGTGTCAGCAATCAGCATCAGTCACATTTCAAACTGAATTAAATAGCTTTCCTCCCAAATGTTGTGTTTTTCTTCCCCTTTCTCTCACTACCGGTTATTTCATCTTTGTTACTAGTGAACAACAGCTCCTGCATTTTGGTCTCCATTTCCCCTCTCCTCTCACATCCTGCTTACATAATAAGCCTGAAATCATCCTGACTACCAAAACCAGGTCTATACTTTGGTCATCTCTCACTAAGTTTTAACACCTCCTCCTCCTCATATGCTTGAGAAGTTGGCTTCTGAAAATGAGTTTCTTACAGATGGCACTTCCATTTACTGGCATCAACTGGTTACTTGGAAGTATTAGTCATTGGAGATACACATTTTATAAAACATGTGAAAAAATAAGAAGTAGAATAAACAGGAACACACAGCGACACTCTGCCTTGGCACTTTCCCAGGCTTCTTTTCCTCATAAGGACAAATGCTAGAGAGTTTGCACTATGTATTTATGTTCAAGTGAAGTTATGATGTAGGCAATTTTTATTAGTAAAGTGTGAATGCTTTCCTAGTAGTCAAAATAACCATCCCCAAAATGCCATACTTACAGAGCACTGACTCGGACACAGAAACAGCCCATCATGCTCCTGACCTTCCACTGCTTTATCTCAGCTTGAGATAGACTTAATCTTTCAGTGCTTCTATCTTCCCTTCTATAAATGCAAAGAATAGATGAGACATGAAACAGACCTGGGACTTCTCCTGGAAGGTACCATGGAAGACAACGGAGAACCACACATGTGCATTTATGTGGGACTACAGCTTAGGCACAAGGAGACCGCCCTGATCTATGCTTATTCTTCCTAGACCCCTTTTCAATCCTCCAGCACCAAAAAAAACCCCACAATGCTGCCCTCGTAATAAGCAAACTAGGATCAAACAGAAAAACCCTGCATGTATCTTCACCAGAGCCACCCCTCCCTCACACCTCTGCAGCCTGATAGAGCTTAACAGCCTGTTTTCACTTGCCTCTCCACTGTCCCCCAAATGTCCCTGGTTTTCCCTCACCGGAGAGGAATCTGTCCATTCTGCTCACACTAGAGTTGTCCTAGGACTCAGCACCTAAGAATAGCCGGTATCCTCCTCAGCTCCAGCACAGCCCCTTAAAGCTCCCTCAGCGGGCTCCCGCCCTGCTCCCTCAGCGGGCTCCCGCCCTGCTCCCTCAGCGGGCTCCCGCCCTGCTCCCTCAGCGGGCTCCCGCCCTGCTCCCTCAGCGGGCTCCCGCCCTGCTCCCTCAGCGGGCTCCCGCCCTTAAACACTCCCCACAGGTGCCATCCCTCACCTCGCGCCCACCCTCACGTGCTGCTATTTAAGCTATGGCCCCAGTTCACTCAGGCATCATCCCTCAGGTGCTGCCCATTAGCTCGCACCCGCCTTCATGCACCGCCCTTCATGCACCGCCCTTCATGCACCGCCCTTCATGCACCGCCCTTCATGCACCGCCCTTCATGCACCGCCCTTCATGCACCGCCCTTCATGCACCGCCCCTCAGCTCGCCCCCGCCTCCAGGTACTGCCCCTCAAGTACTGCCCCTGAGGCACCGCCCCTGAGGCACCACCCTTTAGGTCACGTCCCTCACGTACCGCCCCTCCGGCACCGCCCCTTAGGTCACGTCCCTCACGTACCGCCCCTCCAGGACCGCCCTTTAGGTCCCGCCAATCAGATGCCGCTCCGGCTTCCTCGCCCCGCCCCTCCCCGTTCTTGCCCCTCCCGCTCTTTCCCACCCCTCCACTGAGGCCCCGCCTCCTACGGTTGCACCGCCCCCGCGCCCTGCGCATGCGCCCCGCGAGCGGCGGGCCTGTTTGTGGGGCTTCCGATCCCCCGGCCGCGGCGATGCTGCGTACGGAGAAGGTGCTGCAGCTGCGGGGCCAGCAGGGCCGCTCGGTGCGCGTCGTGCGGGAGCACTACCTCCGCCCTGACGTGCCGTGCCGCAGCGCCCTGTGCCGCGCCGGCTGCCCGCGCGGTGAGGGGGGCTGGCGGCCTGAGGCTGGGGGTGCCGGGTGGGGTTGGGGGGAGAGGCAGCGGGGTACGGGCTGGAGGACGTGCGGAGTGAGCAGTGGGTGGGTTGCCACACGGCTGTTGTAGGCCAGAGCTGGGGCGGCGGGGTCCGTGCGGCCTTGCCAAGCCGGGTGCCGGGCGCGGAGGCCTGATGGGAACCGGCGGGACCGGGTGCAGGGGAACAGCGAGCGGTATGGGCGGTGAAGAGAAGAGAAATAAGGCCTGGAGGGAGGGGGGAGCGGGGCGTCGTGGCCGCTGGTGGCCGGTCCCGAGCTGGGTCCGGACGGAACTGAGTGACATATAAAGTAGTGGAAAAGCCGAACGGTGTCGTGTGGAGGATGCAGCAGCAGTCACTCGTGCAGAGCAGTCAGAGATAAGAGGCGCGTTCAGAAAAGGGAATTGAGAAGTTATTTGCTATAGGATTTAGCTGTGCGCTGATTTACAGAGAGTGATAAAGGGCTGGAGGAGTGTTCAAGGCTTTTTTTAAAGCTCCTTTAAAAGTTTCTTTAAGAGATAGTTTTAAAGTGCCTTAGCTTGTGCAGGGTGGTGGGTTATAGCGCTTCACAGTCATAAAAGGCTAAAGGATTTTTCACATTTCAGTTTGCTTTCTATAAAACATCTTTTAAAAGTGCATTGATTTCTCCAGGTTAGTGGTTTATAGCATGAATTAAGTTCTGCACGTACCTGTTAAGTAATTACAGTGGGGTCAAGCCATTAACTCGGGGTGGTTGTAATTCTGCACCAGCAGTTATTTCTGTTAAGTAATTAACTAATTGCCTGTGTTGTATCGGCTCATCTCAGACATGGGAACACTGGCAGCCCCGATGGTGTCTAGATTTGTTGTTACACGCTGTCGGGTATTAAGTGCGCCATAGATCATCATATGACCTTTGGTTGATATTTCAGAGTGTTTTGCTGTAGTTCAATAGCACAATTTAGGGAAATAACTAACACAGTATCCAGCCTATTTAAATAAAGGACATTATTTCCTTACCTGAAAGAAAAGGTTTACAATTTTACCTCTTCTTTTTTCTGATAGATGTTGTTACTTTTGGTTTAGGTGCCTTTTGCAGTTGAGAGTGGAAGGCAGTGTAGTGTATCACTGCTGTCTAGGATGTCAGAACTAATGATAGTTACTGCTCCCTAACGTACTGCATTTGGTTATGAATTCCTTAAGGATAAATAACAGGCATATACCACAAAAAAAAGTCTTCTCTCCCTTGCCATGCCTAACTTCCCCTCTTCTGGACTTCAGTGTAATTTGTGCTCTAGATGGGTGTTGGAATATGTCTCTATAATAACTCCAGGTAAATTAATTCTAGGTAATTCTGAGGTGAGGTAAACATTTGTTTTCATTGGAAGTGTTCAAGGCCAAGTTGGACAGGGCTTGGAGCGACCTGGTCCAACCTAGTGGAAGGTGTCCCTGCTCGTGGCAGGGGGTTGGAACTGGATGAACTTTAAGGTCCATTCCAACCCAAACTATCCCATGACTCTGATTCATTCCTGGCTTTGCACAGCGAGCTGAGCAAACTTATTTCATGCACTGGGAGAGACTGCCTACATAAATCACATCTACCTGTAATGGTATGCTATGCCTACTTGGAAGTTATTCTGATCTAAATATATAGGTCAGGCAAGGATAGCTCTATGTGGGTAGATTACATAAATCTTTAAGAGACATTTCACTTTTAGTGCTTTTCTGAATTATTAATAAATATCAGCTTTCTTGTATGCATTTTGGGGCCATGTTACTGTCTGGAGAATTGTGCCTGCTGGATTCACACTTCTAGTGATCACAGTTAATTATCCTGTGTCACCTTCTAAGATGTACATGAAAGTAACCTGACTCATCAAGATCTGTATACTTGTATTATATATATAACTTGCCTGCACTAGGGTAAATTCAGTATTTATAATACCATAAGGGATAGAGAGAAAATTCGGTGGAGGTCCCCCCCCCGCCCTAAAGTTTATTGGGTAATCTTTGAAGTATCTAAAGCAATTAAATTCATTAATTTTGAAGCACATTTTAAGATGGCACCTGAAATGGCTTGATTGTGGTATTTTGATGGTGTATTCCTAAGGGATGGAGTCTCTTTAGAGAAAATTAGCAATGATAGTTGATCATTTAGATTCAAGAACATCATCATCTTGCAGTAGCATTGCTTTTCTCCAGGCATAGCCTTATCTGTATTCTTTTATGTAAAGATGTAGAAAAGCAGCCTGCTCTAAATGAATTGTATTTAGTAGAGAGTGCTATGGAAGCAGTGTAACAGGTTAATTCTACACCCTTTGAAAATTCCATGCAAAGATTTTCTGTGGCAGATGCGTAGTTTCCTTTTCCATCTGAAAGCAGAAAAAAAAAAAGGGACTGTTACATGCATTCTTTAAATGGATATTTTTCACTCATTTGGATAAATTTGCATGAAATTTTGGCATCAGTGGGTACAAAAGGGCTCTGTCACAAATTTCAGAGATTGCGCTACAGAGTTACACCATAGTAGTCATAATTTTGTTCATCAGAAACAGATACGTGTATACCCTTGAGGATGCATAACTCCAAATTTCCAGACGTCTGAAACTATTTTTAAGAGCTCCATATTGCAACTGAAGGTTTAAACCTTTGAACTCCAAATTCTGTTTTAGATGGCAAGTTGTTATCGGATGATGTTACACATTATGTCGTCCCTGACTGCAAGGTGGTTCAGGATTACCTTGAGATTCTTGAGTTTCCGGAGCTGAAGGGTATCATCTTTATGCAAACAGCGTGTCAAGCTTTGCAACATCAAAAAGGACGCAGGTACTTACCCTATAATAACTTATTTTTAAGTTAGATTGAAGAAACTAATATAGTAAAATGTATATGTAAACACAGTAACCCGAAGTCAGCAAATAATGTATATACAAATACACTTAAAAGCAAATTAATTTGGTTTTAAAAGTCTGAGTTTGGTTTTAAAACCAAATTAATTTGGTTTTAAGTCTTTCAAAGGTCCTCATATAATTTCACAGAAGGGAAAGAACTCTGATCCTGTGTGGTCCATGGACATCAATGCCTGTTGCAGTTTTCCCTGATAGGAGTGATGTTAAACCTGTAGCTTTATTAACTAATCAGTTGGCTTTTGACAGGAATTAAGGAGACTTTGCAGTAATGATCAAGTATCATGTGCCACAACTAGATTAAGGACATGGTTTTGATTTGCTGTATTAAAGACTGAGCACTTGTCTTTGAGGAGCAATTAATACCATTATATGGTACTTACCTTACCAGACATTAACCTATGTGTTGCTGTAGCATGAGAGTATATGAGAGTATAATTTGCCATTAAGGCTTTTCTGTATTCTAAAGCACAAACACATCTGAAGAAACAGCTCTTGTCCCAGAAGTGGCAAAATAAGTTCCTGAATACTTATGATGTTTTGTGGGGCTCACTGGAAAAGAAGTATGTTTAAAAATAACTATAATAGAAGTAAGAAAAGCTTGCTTACGAATTATGCTGTGGGTTTTGTCAGCAATGGTGTAATCTAATGAATGCATTTCTTGGTGCATGGGAGTACTTTTCGTTGAGTTTTTCAGCTGTATTTTCCTCTGGAGTTAAAGTAGTATTATCAAAAGAAAGCATAAGATTGTATTTATTTATCTTTTTCTTATTCCAGGCAGTACAACAAGCTACGAAATCTAGCAAAGGATGCCCGTCACGACTGTGCCGTATTTGCTAATGAATTCCATCAGCATTGTTATTTGCCGAGAGAGAAGGGAGAATCCATGGAGAAATGGCAGACCAGGTTTGGTTTATGCAGTATTATGCTGGACAACATCCTGGCATTGTATTTAGGAATGTTAGAAAGCATTTGGTGCATAAGAGTTCATACTCTTCCTCTGCTTGGCTCTGGAACAGTGGAAGTCTAGATTGTGCTTTTGTGATTAAGGAAGCGTCAATATTTTATAAGGAAAACAGACACAAGTGTACTTAATTACATGGAGTAGTGCTAAAAAAGCTGGGTCATTTTAAAGTTCCACAGCCATTTTGAAGAATGCTTTAACACAACGAGTAGGACACATATCTTATTGGGCTGCTAGATGTATTGTTTGAGAGCCTGCAAGCACCATAACATTGAAGTCTTGACAGCTCCAGCTTGCTTTTTCCAAACTTCTACTCAGAGGAGCAACATGTCATGTTGCAGCAAGGGCAGGAGTGGATGTATTTGGAAGGAAACATTCCTCTGTTCTTTTAGTGCTTAAAGTATGACACATAGTTTTTGCAGATAGAAAGTTCATGTAGCTTGGTGTATATCTCTCAAAAGTGTGCATCTTAACCCAAAATCTCCTTTAAACAAGGCTGGCAAATGTCTTGCAAGTAACAAATGGGATATGCCAGAAATCTTATTTCAAACTTTGCTTTTCTAGGAGTATTTACAATGCAGCGGTCTGGTACTATAATCACTGCTCAGGTCAGATGCCAATTGTTATGGTAACAGAAGATGAAGATGCTATCAGGCAGTATGGAAATGAAACGGAAGGAGTGTTTGTGATTTCCTTCAAGGTAACATGCTAGACAAACAGAGGAAGGTTTCTTTTATGTTGCATCAAAATGATGAATCGAGTACATTAAAGCCCAATGTGTAGTGCAAATCGCTTCAGAGTTTACATTTAGGAAAACTATGATGCTAACTCATGTCTTCATTTATCAAAAAAGGCTAAGATGTCAGTCATGGGGACATCATTGCAGTGAGCAAACTAGGGAACTGAAAAACAAAACAGCAGCTCCAAAGGTAGAGGCCATCTTTCTTAGTAACTCTGCTCATGGTTTTCCTTATTTTTAAAGAATTTGACACAGATGAACAATGATTAGTGACATCAGCCAGCTGCCTAAACCTGGAAGGCAAGCAGTCCGTGTACAGTCGTAGCCTTAATATCCATCAGCATTATTCTGCCAGTTTCCTTTAGCCTTGACTACTGAGGATACAGTGATGCATGAGAAGGTAATTCATTCCCCAGTTAGTTGCTGGGGATATCAGTGGGATATGTGGATGACATGTTCATGTGCAGCTGTGAAAGAATGTTGAGTAAAACCAGGACCAAACAGGTTTACCTTAAAGCTATATAAAAATGATGATGCTGGTATTTTAATTGCTACAAGGCAATGGGAAGTGGCCCATATGTGGCATTGTACAAGAAGTGTAAAAATAATGATGAGTTGCCAGTTTAATTCTTCTGCTGTGGCACTTAATGAGAAGTACGTAGCTTGGATGGGGTATGTAGGTAGTAAACTTTTGTGAATCTCTGGTCTAGGTTGCCAACTTAACAGTCACACCTCCTTTGCTGTATTTAATAAATGGGTTAAGCTGAATCTGGGATAAATCTGGGGTGTTTAGAGCAGACACTTCATTACCGCTTGGAAGTGGTATTTCAGTGTAGCATGAGACAGCTCTTACCCATTATGGGCTTTCCAGATGTGTGATTGAAAGAGCAGAGACTTCTAAATACTTTGATGTTTGTTCATATATGTGCATACAGAATTACTTGGATAACTTTTGGCCTGACTTAAAGGCTGCCCGTGAACTCTTTGACTCTATACTTCAAGCTCGGCGTGAACGGGAGATTGAAAGCCAAGAAAACAATGGAAAAGAATATCCTGAGCACTTACCTCTGGAAGTATTGGAGGCTGGGATCAAATCTGGAAGATATATACAGGTAATTTGCTATACAGAGAGCATACACAGCACAATGCCATCTTGCACTTGGTCCCTTTAGTTGCCTGAATTAGACTGATTAGATAAAGAAACGCTATAGCGGGAAGGGGAAAGGAAACAAGAAGAACGTCCCACTCTTTTCCATAAGTGAGGACTTGGTTCTGCATCATTTATTCTCCCCTGTAGAGAGAATGGTTGTGTTCAGAATAACCTACATATCAATAAAGCCTACCAGTTTGTGAAAACAATTGTAACACTAAAGATTTTATACTTTAAGGTTGGTTATTTAGAGGTGTAACAGTTTCACTCTTTATCTGTTATTTTCTTTCAGGGTGCACTGAGTGTCAATAAGCACAGAGCTCAGCTGGAAGCTTTTGTTCGACTTCAGGGATTTAGCAGCAAAGAAACAGGTGAAAAGACAACAAGTGGGTTTAAGCAGTGCCTTTTTGACACTGTCTGTGCTGCTTGCATGATGCCATGGAGCCATCTGTATGTAGCTGTTCACTTATTGAGGAAGGTGAAGCTAAGATACTGCAATGCTCGGTTTATTCATGGGCCAGAAAGGAGGGGAAGATGAATGCAGAGGGTGAACCTCAGGAGAAAACAATACCTTTTATGTCCTCTTTCCTCCATGTTTTGGACTCATGTCCTGCTGACAGGTTTCCTATACTTTTTCTGAAGTTGAATACTGCTCCAAATTGTTACCCTGTGCTTTGCTCCTGCTTCAGATGACCACTTGTTTGACTGAAATAAATGTCTGTATAGATGGTGGCAGGATTAGAAGCTGGTTATTGTGAGCATAATAGGAACAATACCTTTTGGATTGGATTGGAACACCAGTAGTGTCTTTCTGATATGAGCTAGTAATAAATACCTTGGAGGAACAGCTCATTATCCTTGCACAAATCTCTTGTCCCACTTTCAAATGTTCCTCTGACAGACCCTGCAGGCAAGCAAGTGTTCAATATACTAATCATTTTTTTAAATCCTGTTTTATTCTGGACCCTGCCCAGAATCCTGTGGCAGGGATTTCCACAGTGTAACCGTGAGTGTTTCTAAACTGCTGCCTAAGAACAGTGAGCTCATCCCAACCGATGCATCTTTTTAGCCAAAAGTGCACTTACAGAATTGCTTAATATTGCCTTATTAAAGAGGACAAAGTTTTAGTTTTAATTGCAATATTAATTGCTTGCCAGTAGTCCTTTATGGAAGAAATCATATTGCAAATATAATTTTCTCTTCTTTCAGCAGAATGCTGCCAAGAGTGAAGGGATTTGATTTTTGTTTTTAGAAGTTTATAGTTTTATTTCTTTTTATTTTAAATTTAGAAATTCAAAGTGACATCCTTATTTACGGGGCCAAAGCTCGAAATCGTGCAATCCACGGTGACATGGTGGCTGTTGAGTTACTGCCTTTGCATGAGTGGAAAGGAAGGACTGTTGCCCTCTGTGAAAATGAGACTGAGGATAAAGCACCATCGGACACCACTGGTGACCCTATGCCCACAGGTAAAGGTTTTGTTAAGATCACCTCACTTCTTTGCTCTGAGCTGTGCTTTTCGTTAGAGAGTCCCTTCCCTCCATTTCTGTCACTATCACGTATTTTGTGCCATAGTAAATTTGAAGTGGTTATCCTAAATTAAAGCATCGTAATGTATCCCAACAAGAAAGCCATGAGATTGTTTCCATGTGTAAACCCCTTTCATTTCATTCTCAGAAATAGGTCAGTTACTGCAGTTACCTTCCTAAAATACTGAGGCAGGAGCACTTTGCTACCCAAGCCCACACTGTCACTCTTCACAGCTCTGAGAGATGAACTGCAATTCTAATAGAGACCAATTCACCAGGCTGTGCACTCAAGTTCTCCCCTATCACTGTTGATTAGACAGAAAGATAACTTCATCCTTTTAATTCCTGATGATAAATAACATGTAAGATGAAAAAGATTTCTGTAAGGTAAGAAGTATCCAGCTCCCATTGCAATGTGACCTGCCTGTGTACCATGGAAACTCAGAGTCTTACTTGAAAATACTACTCTGTGTGTACTACTACAGCTTAAAAGTTTGCTGAGGTCAGAGTTAAAAGTTTTAAGAGGTTAAATCTCTTCCTGCAAGAAAATGCCTTATTTTGATCCTTTCAATTTCCTTTTTTACTGGAATTTGCCACATCTCAGTAGGAGTGGGAATCTCTCTGCATAATTGATGTGCTGTGTCAATTGCAATCTATACAATGAGTTAGTCTCTACATAAACAGAAAAGCTCATTAAAATCTGGCTGTGCCAGTGATAATTTATAAGAAGCTTGTATTATTTGCATGCCAAATGTTATTAGCAATTGTAATACAGATTTGTGGACACATTAGTATTGCGAAGCATTGACTCTTCTATACCTCCCACATATTTGCTCTCATGTTCCTAACTCATTAATGTACAGCCAAAAATGTTCCTTCTTAAAAGGTAAAGTTGTTGGAATCATCCAGAAGAACTGGAGGGATTATGTGGTCACTTTCCCCTCTAGAGAAGAGAGCCAGCCCCAGGGCAGAAATGCTCAGAAGGTCCTTGTTACACCTTGGGACTACAGAATTCCCAAAATCCGGATCAGTACCCAGCAAGCTGAAGCACTCCAGGTAATTTGACAGAAGTGTTTTGTTATCCCGTGTTCCTACAGAATTGTGTGGGTGTAACACGCTGTAATGATGTTTCCCTTGGCAAAAACATGGGTACAAATATGAATCAAATGAAGCCTGGGAGAGTGGTTCAACTGCTGCCTCAAAGGAATGTGTTCAATTCCTGTTAAAACCACATCAGCTTCAGGTAACAAAGCTTATTTGAGCTCTGAATTTGGGCCATAGCCCAGCTACCTGAGCATTTATATACTATTTGCTTTGGGGTTTTTCTGATAAATTAAAGGTCATATCAGGGGTATAAATAGCAGTAGCCCTTGTGGCTTTATTGCATCTATGACATATATATATGTGTATATATAACTTTGGTGAAAGCAAGGAGAGCTTTTCAGCAAATTGATAATGGATTATGGGCACTTGCCTGCCATTGCTGTAGAGAGGAGAAATGTGGGCTTATTAATTCCTGGATGCTTTTACCCTGTAACATTAAGTACTTCTTCACAGGCAAGAAGTAATTGCACACAGAATTGCAGAACATGTCTCTTCTGGTATAAGAATAATTGTTAATTTTTATAATTTAAGATAGAGATTCTCCATATAATAACCCCAAGTGGGTCTTTATACTCTTCCAAGTGGGATTAGGAAAGAAATGTTATTCTCAGTATATGTTTGCCTCTCACTGTGGGTTTCTCTTTCCTTCCTATCAAGTTGTCAGGGTTGCTAGTCTTGGATGGCTTTGTGTGCCCCTGGAGGGGTGTTTGTATTGGTTGCCTGTCAGGAGCAGGTTGCTGCTCTAACAGAATTGTCTTGTGGCAGGACTATAGAGTCGTCGTGCGTATTGATTCTTGGGAGTCAACGTCTGTGTATCCAAATGGACACTTTGTGAGAGTTCTAGGAAGAATTGGAGATCTGGAGGGAGAAATTGCAGCTATTCTGGTGGAGAACAGCATCTGTGTTGCTCCTTTCTCAGAAATCCAGGTTGGTTTTGGGATTAGATACATTCTTTTTCTGTTGATTTTCAGGGGACCCTCTCACAGCTGGGTGTCTTGGTTTGCCAGGTTTCGGAAAGCTGAAAACCAATTGGAGATGATTTTTCTGCAATTACTTTTGTGACAGTGATTCTGTAGATACTATGAATTGTCAAGTCAGGAGAGGGATTTTAAAATAATCTGTTTGCTATGAGAAGATTACGAACTCTTAATTCAATTTTGAGGAAGGCTTTTGGGTTATTACTGCCTTTAATACGTGTTCATGGTATTGATCCTAAAGACCTGGTCCTACTAAAATCATTGTTTTAAATCCTTTTGTCTTCAAGCAGGGGAGGAAGCAGCTCTCGTAGATAATTGCTTTGATACCTCCAATTAATTGAAAAAGAAAAAGAGTATGTAATAAACCATATGCAGTGGTTATGTTTGCCAGAGCTGCAGTATCACCACAGTAATATCAGTTGTTAATAAAACATGTACATTCTTTTCAATTCTGTTTCATACTTTCCATGTAATAAGGCTTACCTGGAAAATGCAAGGGAAGAAGAATTTGTTTAGGGTGAAGTAGTACACAAAACAATTCCTGGTGTAGAAAAGGGAAAGCTAATTAAATCTATTTTCTTGGCTTCCTTTTGTAGAAAAGGATATAAATATATGTTCATCAATAATGTTTTTGTGCAGATGAGTGAAATGCCCATGAGTTCTTCAAAGAATCCATGGAAAGTAAGTCCAGAGGAGGAAAAACAACGTCTTGACCTGAGAACTACACACTTGATATTCAGCATTGATCCAAAAGGCTGTGAGGATGTGGATGATGCTCTCTCTGTTAGAACTCTGCCTAATGGGAATCTGGAATTAGGCGTCCACATTGCAGATGTGACCCACTTTGTGGCAGCAAATTCTTACACTGATGTTGAGGCCAGAGCAAGGTAACTTACTTTCTAAAACTGAGACAATTTATGGAGCTTAGAACATTGTAATGCTGCCTTAAGGGAACACTGAGAAACAGTGGGAGGAAGGAAACATTCTTTCTTTGTGTCATGGAAACAGCTTATGAAAACTACTGTGTAACTAATGGTGTTCTGCTTTTATTTGGATGAAATAGGCCTGCTGGGGAAAAAACTGCTTCTGACCCACTGCTTCACCCTCTTAGGATGAAATTGCTCTTTTCCACAAAGCTAGGATTTATCTTTCCCTACTCACTGCTGCTTGCTTTACAGTCTCCTTTAACATTTGTGATTTGAAGGATTTACAAACCACTTGTTTGCATTCCAGAGGGGACAAATCTTCACATAGAACACCCACAAAATGGAACTATTACATGAGTTTAATTCTAGAGTTATTTGGCAGATTTATATTTTAATATCTGAACTTGTGCCAAATATTCCATTCTTTCTGGTTTCTTTTATTGCCACTGTTTGGAACTTAAACTGCTGAATTACTTCATGAAATATACTCTTTGTAGCTGCAAAGCAATGTAAACTAACCTCTTCTTAGCTAAGCCTATTTTGTACAGCCCTATTTCTGGCTTTAATGGCAGCCGAAGATACTGAGGAAGGCAAAATTAGGCTTTGTACTATACAAATAGTTATTAAAATACTTTGATATTGCATGTCTCTGTGTTCAGTAATAACCTTTTAAAATCATGCTGTGTGTTTTGTTTTTCTGAAGCTATGCTTGTACCAAAAAGTGCTTGGGAGATACACACCATTGAGTCCTTGTGAGAAGAACAGTAAATGTGTTTTATTCCTTAGGGCAACAACTTACTATTTAGCTGATCGTCGCTATGACATGCTGCCCTCTGTCTTGAGTGCTGACATCTGCTCTCTGCTCAGTGGAGTTGATAGGTAAGATTCTGTAGTGTTTCTGAGGAAGGAGATCTTTACAGTAATTTAATTGCTGCTGCCAGTCTGTTCATCAGCTGGTTGAATGTTTTTGTATTGTTATTAAATCCTCAACTGAAAGAACAGTGTATGTTTCAAACTACCTTTCAGTGAAATAGGGTCAGTGCTTTGTAATACATTGCCGTGCCAAAAGGTGCACTGACAAAATTCTGAAGCAAAAGCAAGGTTTCCTACCTCTGTCAGCCCTGTGGAGGCTTCCAGAGAGCACCAGGAATGTGCGCTTTTTTTCATGTATACTTTTGTTTTCAGTGGGAGTTAACAATAAATGTTGAATGTCCAACTGTAATTCCAGGATCACTTTTATAAGGCCTAACTCGGTACTGCTGATAACTCAGGGAGAGTGAGGGCGGTTCTTCCCCAGCTCTACCCCAGGGACAGAAGCCCATGCCTTTAGCAATTTGCTTTGTATTTAAAGAGCAACGTAGAAGTGAAGGCATCTTTGTTTTTCACTTGTTTTTTCACATGGGTTCCAGCCTGGTGTGCGTGCACCCATGTGTATGATCATGTTTGTTACTATTGTCCTGTACCTCAAACATCCCGTTATCCCCTTTTATTACAATTTAGAGAGTTAGCTGGCATGAGGATATGCAGGGTGCAGATATATTGATCGGGGGTGCATCTGATTAATAAAATAAAAATTACTAAAAATAACTCATGTAGCATAGCTGTGCTTTAGAATAGATGTGGCCTCTTATCTTAGGGATACTCTGCCTCAACAAAGGGGTGAAAATACTGCTACAGTCTGTAGCTGGTCCTCACTAAGTTGTGATACATGAGACTGACAGGCAAGTGCATTAATTAGTGGCATTGCTGAGCACTGCTTTGTTTTGTGAAGAGAAAGATGTTTCCACTAAAAAAAACCAAACGAAAACCAACCAGAATGAAACTTGTAAATGTGTAACAGTTGGATGTGCTTGAAAAGCCTGTTTAAGTGAACCAGCACTACTTACAGCATTGTGATTTCTTCTCTAAGGTACGCTGTGAGTGTCTTGTGGGAACTAGAGAAGGAATCGTATGAAATACTGAGCGTCTGCTACAACAAAACCATCATCCGATCCGCGTACAAGCTCACTTATGAAACTGCACAGGGGTTATTGGATGGAGACACAAGCGTGGTTGGTGATATCCTGGAACTGAAAGACTTGGATGAAAGAACGAGGCAGAAGAAGCTGGCTGAGCTGGTTTGGGCGGTATCAAAACTCACGGATATAGCACGGCATGTAAGAGTCAAGCGGGACAGCTGCGGCGCTCTGGAGCTGGAAGGGGTGGAAATCCGAGTGCAGCTGGATGATAAACACAACATCCACGATCTGATCCCGAAGCAGCCCCTGGAGGTGCACGAGACTGTAGCTGAATGTATGATTCTTGCCAACCACTGGGTGGCAAAAAAGATTTCTGAGCATTTTCCTCAGCAAGCTTTGCTGCGGCAGCACCCTCCACCACGGCAGGAATTCTTCACTGAGCTCCGAGAATGTGCCAGTGCCAAAGGCTTCGCAATGGACACACGGTATCTTATTACTTAAGTGTTTTAATTAAAGTTAAGCAATGAAGTATTTGGCTATGTTATGTCACAAACCACTGCAGTTCTGAGTACCAATGTTACAGGCTCTGTGTAGCAATTCTTAAACCCAGTTTTCCCAATACCATTCTGTGAGTGGGAGACGATGTTCTAAAGAAGGGCTGTTTTTTAGTGGATTTTTTAACTATAAACCATTATGAGCAGGGACAGCATAATTTTCTCCAGAATTAACACTTTTTTGACAGGTCTAACAAAGCATTGGCCGAGTCTCTGGATAAAGCAAATGACCCATTGGATCCCATTGTAAACCAACTGCTGCGCTCAATGGCCACTCATGCCATGTCCAACGCGTTGTACTTCTCGACTGGCTCATGCTCCAAGGAGGAGTTTCATCATTATGGTATCTTGTCACCTTATGTTTTGATGCTACTCCTGTTCTGAATTCTGAACTGTTCCGGGGAGGCAGAGGATTGCTGTGCTTGCTTATCACTGCTCCCTCTTTTATCCACAGGACTTGCCCTAGAGAAGTACACTCATTTTACTTCTCCAATTAGAAGATATGCTGATATTATTGTCCACAGACTCCTAATGGCAGCGACTCTGAAGAAAGGAGATGTTAACTTATTCAGTAATAAGGATCTCGAGGAATTGTGCAAACACATTAACAACAGGAACAGGGTAAGGTGGTCACTGTATGTGTCTCAGTGTGTGTTCTCACACCACCCAAAGGAATGTGATACTGATCCTGACTACCGTGTTTGGGTACTACAACAGAGTTATCACTTTGTTTTTATTTGTAATGCTGTGGGGCTTTCTTACTTAAATACTGTTTTTTTCTCCTGAGAGTGGTAGTAAAAATGACTTCATACGTCACCTGTACTACATGTAGGATTTCCTTTTAGATGTAATTTTTCTAAGGGTGGGTAAGGGAGAAAGTAGTGGGAAAAAGAAACTATGGAAATGAAAGCCAGTTGAAATACTTACGTACGTTGTTTTGTCTTCTCTCTTTGGGGGGTGGGGGTGCCTGCAGGCAGCCCAGCGTGCTCAGAAGCAGTCTACTGAACTCTTCCAGTGCATGTACTTCAAAGACAAAACCCCAGAAACAGACGAGCGCTGCGTAGCAGATGGTGTTATTTACTCCATACGAACAAATGGAGTGCTTGTTTTTGTGCCGAGGTGAGTTTGAAAACAAGACATAAGTGTTACTGGAATGCTGCGAGGACACCTCTGGCCCTTGAGAAAGGAAGTGTTCATAGCCTGGCCTGGTGGTGACTGATATCTGCGTTTTAGATTTCCGTTGTAAAGCATTAGCAGTGCTTTGCTGTGCTTTGACTCTGGGAAGGAGTTCCTATGAGGAAATGATAAGACTATGCTTTGTGTGGTTACTTCAAAACATGAGAAGGACGTTTTTTGCCCAAGCAGAACAATGACTGGAGTGTTTCCCCCTTTTCATTTTTTTTTTTAACAATAGAAAGTGATTTCCCAAACCACAAAGCTGTGCATTCCTCAGTGCTCTTTTTCTTAACAGCAGACTATACTCTGTGCAGGCTGGGAGCACCTTTCAAGCAACTACTCATAGTAGGCAGCACAAAGCACAGAAGTGTTTAAATGAAGCTGTTTATGGTAGTTAGGTTTTATAAGCGCCTGTATCATGCTGCTGATTTATGCTGGTAGAATACAGCTCTTTGCAGGAAGCTAACATTACAGTTCATTTTCTGAGCTTTTACATCTGTATTTTAAAGTACAGTAAATGTGTTCTGCATATGTTACAAGTTGACTAGGGAATGGTGTAAGAAGGCAAGTCATGACAGGACTAGAGAGTGCTGCCTTCTATAGGACTTGGCCAGATCTCCAAGCCTTGGAGGAAGAGAAAGCCCCTTCCTTTCCCTTACTGGCTCTGGACATTTTGGGTTGCTTAATGATCTTTGTGCAGTTCTGGTAGCAACACTGTCTGCCTGACTAGCTCACAAGTATGTCAAATGTAGGCATAAGAATGCTACTTAATAAGAAAGAAACAAAACCCAAACAGCATTCTACAAGGATGATAAATCAAACTGCTGTAAGAGTACCTTGAACTTGCATAAATACAGCTAGGGCCTGGCTTGATCCTGGCCACAGACTGAGCTTGGGTATAAACCAGCTCAATGTAGGCATCTGGTCTCCAGATGACTTGGCGTGGATGCAAGGCTGGAGAGCCAGAACCTACCCAAGTAAGGCAGGCATCCTTACAGAGAACCCACTGCAAGTATCTGCTGCTCTTAAGGTGTTTGAAATGGAGAACTGTTACCTCACTGTGCTGTCTGGAATAACCTGTAATGCTGCTGCCCTTCCATCATTGGGCCATTTCGGTCTCCACCCAACACATAAGAGAATGGATCACCCTGTATCTTTTTGTTTCTTTCAAATCACATCAGTCACCATCTTTGGGCTATTCTCATATACTCTAGAGGTTTATTTGACAATGCACACCAGTGTCTCTGAAGCAGGGTTATCAGGTTACACTGACTGCCCCTTTATGTGGCTTCTACACAATCTTTGCTAGCTTCAAAATTAAGAGAACTGATGTGAAAATGGTTAGCAAAGGCTCTGCTCATCTGCTCTTTCATAGATATGGAATCAAAGCTGCAGCATATATGAAAAACAAAGAAGGTTTAGTTATCTCTTGTCAAGGTGATGGGAGCTGTGAGTGGAAGCCTGGATCACTGCAGCGCTTTCAGAACAAAATTACTTCCACCACAACTACTGGGGACTCAGTTACGTTAAGCCTTTTTGATCATATTACGGTGAGTATTTAGAATCACAGAACAGTTTGTGCTGGAAAGGACCTTAAAACTCACCCAGTTCCAACACCTGCCACAGGAAGGGACATCGTCCACTAGAGCAGGTTGCTCCAAGCCTGTGTCCAACCTGGCCTTGGACACTGCCAGGGATGGGGCAGCCACAGCTTCTCTGGGCACCCTGTGCCAGCGCCTCAGCACCCTCACAGGGAAGAGCTTCTGCCTAAGAGCTCATCTCAGTCTCCCCTCTGGCTGGTTAAAGCCCTCTGGACTCACTCCACCAGCTCCATATCCCTCTTGTTTTGGGGGGCCAACACAATTTAATCAGAAGCAAGAGGAAACAGCACTATCAGAAATAAAGTATTTTTCTCTTGGTTTTAAGGTGAAGATGCTGGTGCAGACCTCCCGCTGCCATGCTGACACCATCAAGCTTGAAATAATCAAGAATGCACCGCACCAGACTGTGGACATGGAGGTTTCCCAGAGGAACTGTCAGAGGGTGAAATGTGACTTGGTGAAAGCAGTCAGTCAGTCAGCAGAAGCTGCCCAGCATGCCCAGGAGAAAAGAGTTGAAGTAATTGATGAAGACTTTGAGAAGTACTGCCAGACCAAGGGAGCCAGCTTATACCAACTGCTGGAGGAGATAAGGGATTTGGCACTACTGGATGTCTCGGCTGATGTCAGAACTTGAACTGTAACCCAGCGTGGTGATGTTCTGCTCCTGTCTACTCTGTATTGCTGTTGGGGTTTTTAAAAGCGCTCTATTTAAGTATTCAAGAATCCTTTTAATAAGAAACTAAATATCTAGTTTAAAGAAGAATTATTTTTGTGTTTATGACCATGTATGAGTTTGCAAAAGATTTTATATATGATAAAACTCATCTTCCAGCCTAACCCCAGTGTTACGAGTTCTTTTAACTATCATGCTAAAAGTTACTTTCCCGTGTTCTTCCTCCTATTGGCTCTATTCCAGGAATTTAACTCATAGCTACAAGAATATAAAGGCAAGCTCCTTCACATTAACCTAGAATTATTGAAATCCCCCATATGCACATCTGGCATAAAGTAACACCTGATGACATAAACTTATTTCATCTATTCTTGTCCTAATTTAGCTTCCATAAACTCTATTCTTCATGAACAACACTCTCTCCTGTCCTGCTGGCAAGGGAAGGATCAGGGATTTACTTGCTCCTCTCATTCCCCAGCAGGGAGAGGCTGTTGTGCAGGGAAAGAAACAACTTATAAGAAAGGGTGAAACAGCCTCAAGGCAGAGAACGTAATCAGCTGAACATAAATAACTAATAAGGTGAAAACCAAAGCATGTTCCCCTGAGGGATGGACTTCTCTGTAAAGAGACACCGTGAGCACAAGTGATGGGGAAATGGGGAGGGCCTGTACTTGTCAGAGCCTCATGCAACCAACTCCTGAAATGTAATAGCTTCCATTTTATAAGACAGAGATGCACATACTTGAAAAGTAAGTTAAAAAAATCCAGGCCCCTGGTCCGACACCACCCTACCTCCTACTGTAGACACACTCTGTTAAAATAACCACAACTTTAATAGAAACTTCATGTCTCAATATTCCCAGTTAATTCAGTTTGACATCAAGTGTTAACAAAATGTAAAATAGGTCAAAGCCCCTCATTAACATTCTCTAAAGGCTCCTGCGGGAGGTGGGAAATATGTTCTAAAGACAGATGAATGTGGTGTTGTCTGGTGCTCATCTGCAGCTGCAAGAGTCCAACTTTATGAAAGTCATAGTAAAAAGAGCCAGCAACTATAATGACAGTACTTAAAATACTGGGGGTTTTCCATGAAGAAAGCTAAGGAGAATGGTTACTGCTTTTCACTGCATATTCCAAATCTGTGTCTCCGTCTTCAGCTTCTGTATCTCCATCCACAGCAACCTTGAGTGCAGTAACTGGGGTGTCTTCAATATGGTCAGCAGGATCCTGAGCAACAGGGGTGTTAAACTCCTCTTCTGGGTAACTAGTGGAGAGCTCTGTTGGGAAAAATAAAAGTCAACAAAGCAAAACCAATTCGCTACCATGGAAGCCACCACTGCTCTGTTTAACTGCAGCTTCTAGCACCAAAATCAGTGTCTGCAGGAAAGCCAACTCCAAGGATGACCAGCAAGTTGAGTTTCACTTCATCAAAGACAAAGCCATCACAGCTTGGCATGGCAACTAGCTAGTTCTCAACTAGCTTAGGAGGAGTGTAACTACAGGAACACAGTTCAAATTTGGAGCTCCACATTTTACTATAGACTAGAAAAACAACCCATACCCTGACCTTTAAACTCACTCAGCAATCAGCTGCATGAGCTGCTAAGGCTATAGACCTTAACATCAACACTTAAGTTCCAAGCTGGTTACCGTTGTGTTGTGACTGGCTGTGGCACTGCATCTTGGCCTGCCTGCGCTCCAAGGCCAACTGCCTGTTCTTCTTGATTCGCTCCTGCTGCTCCTCTGTGAGAGTTGTAGCAGACACAGAATTGAGTTGTTCTGCATTTCCAGAGCTGGAACCTACATCTTCAGCTGCTGTATCCAGTCCATTGCTTTCCCCTTCGGCATCTGATAAAAAAAATGAGGGAAAAGTAGTAGAATTAACGCTTTCACCCTAGAGAGATCTACTGCTCAGTATCTGCCAAGAGAACATATTTAAAGCATTTTTATGCTCTACACTTTAAAGTTGCATTGACAACTGAAGATCATTCCGTAATTTACTTTTAATGGGCAGTTTTCTGCCTAGGTCCACATACCTGATATTCAAAGTACAGAAACATTGCTTATCAGATATCCTGAACACACAATAAATGCCTGAGTCTACAGAGGCAGAGCTCTGAGTTAGCAGTCATGAGCTGTGCCTGAAGGTTAAAAAGAGACAGTAAATGCAAACAATCCCTATGGAAAGGCCACATGATTTTCCTCCTATCCCTACTACTAATAGGACACTATCCTTTAGAAAATTGCAGGACTAGCTATGGGAATCACAGAGGTTCAAACACAGACATGGAATAATCAGTTTTGAATTTAGTGTGCCACTATTATGCAATATTTACTCGTTTGCCAACATTAAAACATGCAAAATGAAGGCAGTCCAACTCCTTCAGACAAACTTCACCACCAACACGAAGCAGAGCACCTAAGGCCCAGAATGTGTGTGCCTCTGCGCCACTTTAAGCCTGTGAATAGAGAAGTTAGCTAACAACAAGTTTTTTTGTTATTAATACTCTAGCTTGAAATTTTATTTCAAAACCATAAGATACCTACTCAAGCTTTTCCACTGGACTGAGCAGTTGCAGCAGTACACTCACTGACACAGTTAAGAAAAGGTCAGCACCATATTTAAGTACAAATGTATGGAACCATCGCACAGAAAATCTGATGACTCTACAGACTCTGTCGGCAGGAACCACTGGCTTTACTGTCTGTGGCTGCTCACGGCTGCATTCATTCCTGGCGAATGCAGCCAGCAGTGAAGCCAGCCACAGGTCCCCAACTCCCCAGAGGTTGTCTCTGCAGGTGAGAACACCTTTCCCAAGGACTGGCTGGTCTGAGAGCTAATGTTCAGCTGAAGATATACTGGACAATGGTAGGTAACTGTTTCAGCAAAGTGTGAACTCCAAACGACTTTAGGAACAACTACTAAACTCTCTTATTTCTGCCAATTAAATTACTTTCAAGCTACCAAATTAACTCTGCTCCCTCTATTTATTAAAAAAAAAAAATAAAATCATTGTTTTTTTCTACTCTTAAACCATCATCTGATTGGAAGAGACTGGAATCATCTACTTGCTAAGTGGACTTTGATACTGGAAGAAGACAGACATCACACTGCCCACAGTCTAAGTACTTTCCTATAGAGAACACTACACTCACTGCAACAGTGTGTAGTATAAACAGTATAATGAGCCTTGATTTCTGCAATAATAAGACCCAACAGCTCTTCAGACTGCACACTCCTAAGAGTACAATACAAACCAGTGTGTTCGCTTCATAATTTCAGTTCGAGGATTTTTTGGAAGAGTATTCCTAACAATGCTGGTAATAATACCCATTTTCCATTTCCTTTCAGTAGATCACACTATTTATTGTCATATATATATATATATATATATATATATATATATATATCTCATTTTAGTCCAAGCACCAGTTCTGTTTTGCAGTTTTAAGTTTTATAGAAGCTTGGTTATAAAATAGGGGACCACTCAACAATTTTTTCTACATTAGAAACTTATAATGATCATTAATTTCTTGTCAATAGGAGGGGAAGTAAATTTTAAGCACAATAGGCATACCTTTGTTATCTGAAAAGTCTTCATGTATAATAGGAAGGTCAAGTCTAATCCGCTTTAGGCAGGTCTGCAAATGAGAGACTAAAACAGTGATATTTCATCTGTAACAAAATCTTTTATGCAATATTGCTTTGGTTTTAACACTACTCCCAATTTCTTTTTAACTCTGCAAAAAAAATTCTCCTTTCATTACACCTCTGTTTGACCCACAACTTTTAATGCTGTGGTTCATTCTCTTAGTCCTTCATTTCCCACCAGACAGATGAAGCAGCCTTCTTCAGAAACCTTCTTTTGCAGGTTCTGACATTAACAAAACTCCCAAACCAATCAGTTCCAGCACTCTTAAGCAAATTATGTGGCTAAAGATGTCCTGAAAAAGTCAAAGCCAATTCTCCAGAATTCAACTGAAGAAAGTGTAACTCTAAATGTAAATTTAAACACTGGGAAGAGCTATTTTTACAAAGAGAGACATTAATTTCAATAACATTATACTCCTTAGCAGTATGTACAACTTAAGTTTTCCTGTATTGCCTAACTGCTCTCCTAAACCTGCTTCTTAGACTATGCATTACTGGAGCAACACGTACCTGAACTTCCTTTTTGTTTCCCAAAGACTCAACTCTGTCAATAAAATCCTCAAACTGCAGTTTTGGATATAGCCTATGAGCCCAGTGCTCCATGTGTCGCATAAGAGTCTTCAGGTCCTCTGCCTAGAGCATAGAAGATGACATCCAGCTAGTAAAAGCTAAGTCAGGAGACTGTAGAGGGAGACAGGACAGTAATGTTTCTGAAAGCATTAAGCATCTGCAGCTTGAAAGTCTCTTGAAAACTGAAGTGATATGAACGTGTGGGTAACCCTCCCACAGCCAAGTCTGAAAGTGCAATTTCAAGCTGTGAGAAGAACAGCAGCAAACCAAGTTCAGGAAAAGCATTTAGATACCGCAAAACATCTGACAGCTTCTAAGAAGCTGGCCTTAAGACAACCTAGGTCTGAACCCAGACTGAAAAGAACCCACAGGGACACAGCTGGTATTTATTCTGATGCTCAGAACACACAGAAAATGTACATCTAAATCACTTCATCTGGTAAAGATTTCTGTTCACACCAGTGGTATCTCCTTGTTTCTTTCTGTCTTTCATCGATACCATGAATGTTGCCTGTAAAGCAGAGCTGCACAGGCATCCTTGCAAATGTGCTGATCATCTAATACTTAAAGGAAAAATTAGCTTTTATGTTTAAGTGTATCCAAGCCAATGAGACGGTCTGTAGGGAAAGTACTGCTTTCTCTTTGCTTAAGTGGTATGTCACAATTTTCAGCATTAAAACCTTTGTGATAGAGGTGTCACAGCAGCACCAGAATAATTTCAGTAACAAAGGAAACCGACCATGAAATGAGATGTGTCCTGGTTTTGCCTCATATAGAGTTAATTTTCTTCCTAGTTGTGAAGGTATTCCAGGCATAGTAGGCAGTCTTGTTAGCCTGCTGCAATTTCAAAACACTTCTGTGGGCAACAGTCACAGACATGATATTCTAGTTTTGGAGTAGAGGAAAAGAGTTTTACGATCAAAACAGGGATTTTATTAAAATATTAATGTATGTTTGTGTTTCATTAAATTTGCAGTTACAAACCACATCAGGGTACATTCAAATACTGCTAAAAGCTGGCTAATCGAAGTGTAATATCAATTTTCTCCTGTCAGTTGGGCAGCAATCTATCAAATCCCAGGAACAAAACAAAAGCTCCCTATGTCTTACCTCGTGCCCTTTACCCTTGAACTTTACATTGTCAAACATGTGTCTTAGGGCTGGAAGTCCTCTTTCTGAGATTAGCCTGGTAATAGCAAATGGGTGAAGTTATTTGAAACCCGTACTACTTCTAATTAACAAAAACAATAACAAAGAAACAAACCCCCCTCAAATTCCTTTAAATAGCCTCAAGCTGCAGAACTCTATTTGAAAGATACATGGAATATTTAATAGATATATAGAAAGACAATGGAATTAGAAGTCATGAAGGAAACACACAGAATAGGATAAAGACTACTATAAAACCCAAGACTATCATTATTATTTATTTAATTCACCATACATGTATTCACATACATGTACATACTTTGACTTCATAGTCAAAGAAGCTTCTTGCTTTTGATGACATGGAAACAAAATTGAATGGTCAGGTCTAATAACTACACTGTCCAAGTGAAACTGCTTAGATGAGTGACCATCACCTTGTGGTATCACTGACTTCATCAGTGTATTTAAAATAGAAGAAATGGAAAGTTCAGATTCTTTCCATTGCTTATAAAGAACTTAAACCAGTTTTAGTGGTAATAGCAAAGAAAATATTAAAATCCCTTATACAGAGTTTATCCAGCCTGTATGTAAGTCAGGTGTAAGTGTACTTTAGGTACTGTCTTACAGTCATCATTATACTGAGGTTTATTTTGATGCAGACTTTAATTAAATAAAGAAATCTATAATAATATGTCTGAAAGAAAATAAAGAAGATCCAGCTGGAAGAGTCCTATGTATAAATAATAAATTATCTCTTCAAGTATTAGTCATGTACTAAGTCCCAAGAAAACTTTAAGAAAGACTATTAACAGCATTACACAGGTAGGCAAGGAATAAAAAGGTTGAGATACAGTGTAAAAGAGGCATTTCCATCTCTAACACTCTTTATTTGGCTATGACCAAGCAGGGAACACAGTAACCTTAATCATTTTCCCACAGCTATATAACAAATTCATCACAGAAATGAGTATTTTGTAAAAACTATTACCTCTGGGCATCTAGTTTAGGCATTGGCCTTTTAACTGCTTTCCGTACAGCTGCAGCAGACTCCTTTGCTTGTGATTGCTGGTTCCCATCTGGTTCTAACAAAGAAAACAACAAACTTTAAGTATATAATGCAGTTGGCATCAACTAGAACTGCATCATGTACATTTTAAGTTTCTACCCTATCAAAAAGGCAGGTCACAAGACTTCCACTGCAGGTACGGACTCCAAAAGGACATCTGCGTATTTCACATTGCTTCTCCCACAAAATAGACTGGAAATAAATCAGTCTCTTAAAATATACTGAGGAATCCCCTTTTCTAGCAAAAGTAAGCTCCTTAAAAGGGAAATTTCCTAATTTTAGAACTTTTAGATTGTAGTTCTGACAAGAATATACTAATAGTAAACGTTGTTTCTAAGTGTTAAGAAACGGAGAGTATCAACAACCATAATTTGATAGGTGTGCCTCAAGATTTCCACTGATAATTCTGAAAGACATAAACCACCAGCAACACAGGCAGAGCAGGGATTAAGGCAAACATGTTTATCACTGCTTCTTCTTAATTCCAATAAAAAAGAGGAGCAACAGGTCACACCTACATAATTATCTACATTTTGTCAGAAGAGCTTGAATTTTATAAGGATTCAATTGTGAACGTATTTTCGTGGAACCTACGAGAAGAAACTTTCCCCACGAGTTTGACAGCATAGAATTAATAACAATAGAAATTGTGATTTGCTCTCTTATCTGTACAAGACAGTAAACTCAAGACAGTGAAGGACACCATCAGTAATACTGATTTCACAGCATTTCATTGCCCATACTGCAAAAAAGGATCTTTAGGGGTCAGGGGTGCTCACCTCCATTAGCTTGAGCCCATTCAGCATCATCTCTTCCTGGAGAGGCAGGAGGTGGGAGAGGTGGGAACCTTTCATCTTCTGTGTTCTCATAATCAGGAACATCAAAAAAGTTGTTCTCCAAAGGATCCATCACTGCCACAGGTAAGCTCTTCTTCCCTCCTGCAGGAAATACCAAAATCATTTAAAGAGAGAAGAAAAGGCTGCCACAGAAGCAGATAAACATCAAATACATATAGCTTCCACAGAAAAAAAATGCCAGCTAATAAAAAGTGACATACAAATTAAGCAGCAGATACCATGCAGATGGATGATACAATCCACCCTCACTGGGCTGAATAAGGATTTGTGTTTCAGATCCTCAAAAGGACTTGGCAGTGGTAGGTACAGGCCACAGGAATAGAACAAAATACATGGATTTCCAGCCAAAGCACTTCTCAAGACAGCTTTTTGCCACGCACGTTCCTGATAATCCAAGGGTACCGCAAGTGTGCAAGGGGATAATTCCTCTAATTTACAGTTCACCCGCTCAGAAACAGTCTAGAGGCGGATTCCCCTTTCAGGGCTCCTCCAGCGAAGCTAATTCCAAAAACTTTTATCACATCGGGCTTAGCATGACCCGGACTCACCACGGCCTCAGGAACGGCTCTTGCTTTAAGGGAAAGTTGTTTCTGAAGCAGCTTAATAACGAGGGAACACACCAAGCAGCTCCGACTGCACTGACCTTCGACTGTGAGCTCCCTCCCTCCCTTCCTCCGGGCTGCGAGGCTCGCACGGAGGCGGAGGGAGTCCACAGAAGGTCGCTGGGGTCTGCAGGGCCAGACTTCCACAGCCACAGCCCACCGGGCGCCAAGGAGGCCGCGCTCCCCTCACACCGCTACAGCCATCCTGAGGCGCGCAGGACGTGAGGTGAGGGCTCTCCTGCGCCCACCGGTGGGAAGTGAGATGAAGCGGGAAGACAGATCCGTACACACCGGGACGAGAGGTGCTTAAAGACGCTCCGCACCTCTCCTACCCCACAGAACGCCGGCTCCAGTCGGGAAGCGCGCCTGGGACGTACCGCGATAATCGCGCCTCTCGCGAGTGCCCGAACGGCCCGGCTGAGGGGAGCAGTCACCCGGCGGCGGCTGCGTGACAGGGCGCATGCGCGGCAGGGAGGCGATGGCGGTTTTGGCGCCAAAAGCGGACGGGAGGGGAGGGGAGGGTGAAGGTGTGGCTGAGGCGGGCTCTGAGGCGGTTCATGGGGTGTCCCCGCCTCAGGCGAGAGTTACCGGCGGTGGGAGTTTGACTGTGAGGATGCGAGGCCCCGCGAGCAATCAGGTTCCGGAATGTTGCTTGGAACAGTGCCTGTTGAGCCCTTCCTCGCTTCCGTACCTCTGAGGGAAGGGCTTCCAGGGCAAGCAACAAGCCCAAGCTTTTCTCCATACAGGTACTAGCTAAAGCCGCCTGGTGGTTTGAAACTAAGTAGTTTGCAATTGTGTGTAATGAATATACCAAGCCCTCTTTATATGTGGCAGCTGTGCACATAAAATTCCCTTTAAAGGGGTTGAACTGCAGAAATGAGAGTTTCCAAGTTCTGTCTCCAGTTCTGATGCGCCTGGAAAGTTCAGTGTAGTTTTACAGGTCAGTCCATGGACGTATATCTGACTTAAATAACAGCTTCTTCCTTTAAGCAAAGTGAGAGAAAGTAATACCATATTAATACATTGAAGGAATTGGCTTTCCCTTTTTTCTCTGTATAGTCATATTTGACATATGCTGTTTCTGGTAATTTAATGTGTTCTTTTCAGTATGACAATGAAAATCAATTGTTGTTACTTTCCAGAATAAAAATAAAAATTATCTTTTAGTCAGAATGATATTAACAATTAATGTTTAAAATGTGCATTCCCAAATGCAGCAACATCTTTTTTAGCCAAGGATACACTAACTGTAGAGAGAACATGGTAATGGATTTGTTAGTACTGAATCCATTTATCTTTTTAGATATGGCCAATTTCTTCAAATGACTGAGGCACATGAAGTATTAAGGAAACACAAAGCTATAGTAATAATAGTAGATCTAATACTGCTAATTTCCATCTTAAAACACTAAAGTTTTGTCATAGAAAATTACTGAAAATCAAACGTCTATATGATGAGCTGTTTGCTTTGGAAGTAACTTACTCTTTATATTAAATAAACCCCTTACAAACAAATTAATTAGGTGTTTGGTGTAGCCTAAATATGTGATTGGTAACTATTAGTGTGATACATCTTTTCATGTCAATGTTTTCTTTAAAATATAATGGGGGGAGGTTATATGTGAAGTAAGTGTGTTTTAATACTTGGCTAATGTCAGCTGAACTGATTAGAGGCTCAAGACTTTCAAATCCCTGTAAGTCCCTGCGTATTTTCTGCAAAATCAGTGTTAAATGAACAGAAGTAGCATAGCAGGGATCTGTGAGAGCAAAGGCAGGGAGAAGGGAGCATGAATTTGTGTGGCTGAACAGTCTCCATATACCCACGTCTGCATAAGCAGACTTCTGTCCTCTTGTGTTTTGCCTTTGCCGGAACAAGGAGATAACAGACAGGAAAAAAGTGTTGGAAAGGTATAAAACCTCCTATACAAGTGTTAAAGCAGGCCACTTGCAATCTCTGCAGAGGGGTACAGTGTTATAAAACCTACCATATTTATGCAGCTTTGATTAATCAATATTTTTGCAGAGTGTTTAATTAGAGACCAGACTTGATGACCTGGGTGGTTTTTTCCAGTCCTCTGTTCCTAATTAAATGAAAAGGATACGCTGGCAGGCATTGATTATTGGCTTTTTTTTCCTCAGGAAATGAATAACCAGCCACATGCTGATAAAATAATAAGTCAGGGGAAAATAAAAAACAAACCTAGCTTGCCTCTATTCTAGAAAATGCTTCTGGCTTCCAGTTTCAATGAAATGGAAATATTATTACTTGTTTCTCTGTTGAATAGTGTCACTTCATTAGAAAAACTGCAGAAAATGAGCACCTTATATTTCAGTCTTGTTTCCTGTCTTCTGTTAAATACATAGTGAAGAAAATCTGTTAAGTAATTGGCTACTTCTACATTTGAAAGGTTTTACTCCAATGGGAGCTGCACTTGTCTGCAGAAACTCTCTAAATATTGCACTGGCAGATCTGTTTTTCTAGCGCAAAACCGGTACCATGGTCGCTGTGTTAGTGGGAGATCACATCTCACAGCTTGAGCAAACTTCAGTTATTTGTGATTTATACCTTGATAACTTAATCTAAGTTTTATGTTCTACAGTCATCTTCAACATTAATTTCTAAGCTTTTAGTATATTACTAAACTTTCAAGACTGTATTCTTATCCACAGTGTTCTTTTCAATCCCAGCTTCTTGAGGAGAACAGGGTGTGCAAGACCCTGATCTTTGAAAAAGATCTTTGAAAAGCTGTTTGAAAGTCAGTCTGTCAGCCCTCTTCTAATAATTTTTGATCCTGTTGGCCAATTTCAATCAAATTCGAATCAGGCTCCTTAAATTCCATTGCTTATGGGACTAATTATTTCCTTCAATTGCTTTGTTAACCACTAAATAGATTCTGAAACATTAAATCTCGCAACCAAAGCATACGTTTTGGCAGTCAATAAGCAGCTTTATGTGGCAATCGAGTTTTAAAAGTTGGTTTGATTAAGTGATGCATTAATCCATACAATAATTAGATTGTAATTATGTTTCTTGTATATGTATCCTGTTTCTTGCGTGTTTTCTTTTCATGCAAGAAACTAGACAAGATTCAAGTTTCCATGAGGGAAAAAAGAGGTAATGATGACAAGTTTCTTTGCTGCATTTCTATTTACAGAGACATAAGTTGTATTTTTCCAAGCAGTGGTGGAATCAATAAGTCAGAAAGTCTCCCTGCTCACAAGTCTTTCACAGGTATTACACTACCTTCTATTTTTTACCTTCACCTTTTTCTCTGTAATCCACCCTCAGAAGCACCCACTTGTAAAGCAAAATGCAGCTCCTTCCACAGAGAATATCCAAATTCCCAAAACATGTATTTTATTTTTTTGTGGGTTCCAAAAGTCAAGTAATATTTTAAATCAAAGTAGTCATTAATCATAGAATCACAGACTGCTTTGGTTTGGAAGGGACCTTAAAGATCATCCAGTTCCAACCCCCTGCCGTGACCTTATTTCTATATTCAGCCAATTCAAACTATCTTTGATTTCGTGCTGCAGGAAAAAGGGACTCTAAAAGCGATGGGTGAATTCAGCAATTGTCCAAGATTCCCCAGTACTGAGTTTGCAGTGCAAGCATGAAGTGTTCCAGAGGAGGGAGCCCTCTCTTAATCCTGGAATTGGAAGGAGGGAGCGTGTCTTTGACGGGAAAACTGGGAAAATAGTAATTCAGTCTTTTCCACTTTAGAGCTAGGTAAATGTTGGGAAAGATACAGCGTTTTCATGTAACATAAAGGGGACTTTGTTCATAATTTCAGTTGCTATAAAAGCATTAATTAAATTAGATTAGATATTAGGAAGAAGTTGTTACCTGGAAGCATGGTGATAATAACACATGTATTTTAAATACTTTCTATAAAAACCCACTCTGAATTCCATGGTGGGGTTCTTCTGTGGTTTGCAAAAGTAATGTAATATTTTTAATCAAAGTAGTTTTTAATCATAGAATCCCAGACTGGTTTGTGTTGGAAGGGGCCTTAAAGCTCATGCACTTCCAAACAGGTTGCTCCAAGCCTCATTCAACCTGGCCTTGAACACTGCCAGGGATGGGGCAGCCACAGCTTCTCTGGGCACCCTGTGCCAGCACCTCAGCACCCTCACAGGGAAGAACTTCTTCCTCAGATCTCATCTCCATCTCCTCTCTGTCAGTTAATTAATGCACTATGCAGCAGATTTCCTGTCTGAAAAATGAGTACTTTATAGCTGGGTGGGAGCAAGTTGGTGTTTAAGCCTCAACATGGCAGTTTTTATCAGCAGCGAGAGGTGGCTTTTGTTGTCTGAAAGCTTAACCTCATGTTTATGTTGGTGGTTTTCTCCCCAGAATTAACTTGTTTAAACAAGGCGCTGTTCTTCCTGTGATGTGGGCTCATAGCTTCATTCTCGAATTGTTCAGGTCTTCTACGTCCAACCTTAAAACTGTTAAAGAAGCATCAAGAACAATCCCCACAGACAGCACAGATTCTTTGTTTTATAAATCATACTTCCTCACTCATGTATTCCTCCTTTTGTATTCCAGAACATGAGAGAGAGCTCCTGGAAAATAAAATCTTCTTGGTTATGTTTTCAGGTTCACTACAACAATTACAAAAACCTAGAAAGCTCCCCAAATCCGTGGTAACTGAAGTCAGAACTTGTCAGAAACGTACTCGCAAAAAACTGTCATCGCGCTAATGTGTTGATGTGACACAAACTGGCCCTTCCCAGTAGGGTTTTATCACCAGCAGCTGGTTTAATTTTCAGACTAATTTTTGCTGTTTATTCTATAACTGTAATCGTAAGTTTCCGTTCTTAAATCAGGCATTTGCTTCGGGAAGGATTTAGCAGCCGTCAGTCCCCCGGCTGAGGCTGATGTTTTAATTATAACCACAGCACTTCCCACAGCGGGCTGCGTTGATGGTGGCACACGGGGGAGATCAACACCAGCTCCACAAACCCCCGGTGTCACACCCAAACAACTTTAAGATGAAGCCATAAACCGGAGGGAGCCGGTACCGATCCCCGCCGTTGCGGGCACGGCTTCAGCGCGGCTTCCTCCTCCTCAGGGCGCATGCGCCTGCTCCCCACGGCTGCGCGCCGGGCGGGCCGACTGGTGTGCGCAGGCGCAGTGCCGCAGAAGGGCGCATCTTGAGCCCGGGCAGCGCTCCCGTCGGGAGGTGCGGGAGGGAGCTTGGTGCTGCTCGATTCCGTGGGGGGAGGCCGGCGTTGGGCGGGCGGACTGCCGGGGGCTGAGGGCGGCACCGCCACCACAGGCACCTGCCTGCTGAGGAGCTTGCGCACCTGCGGCGAGGGGACCCCTCAACTTTACTCCAGCGCAGGAAGTCCCTCGGACCTGGCCGAAGTGGGGCTAGGACTGCGCCGTCCGTTACCGTCCGCGCCGTCTGGGGGCGAAAATGCCGAAGAAGAAGCCTGGGCCGATTCAGCTCAATCCCGCTCCGGATGGATCTGCCGTCAACGGGACCAGCTCTGCAGAGTGAGTGAAAGAGAGTGGCCGGGGCTCCGGCGGGGCTGAGATGACGGGCGCGGCCGGGCCGGCTGCTCCCATCCCATTGCCCGTAGCGGGGCGGTGGACTCAGCTGGAGCGGCACCGGCCCGGTTGGTTCGGCTTTTCCTTCAGCCTCTGTGCTTTAAGTCGGCACGGCCTTGGCTGCTAGGAGAATCAGAACTCTGGATGCCGGGGGGTGCATGGTCCCCCTGTGGTAGCTACTGGGGGTCTCACCGTGATCGGTGAGTGGGGTCTTCGGCAACATATTTCAGTTAGTTGTGCAAGATAACCTGGAGAAAAAATGGAGGAAAACTTGTTTAACTCTCTTCTCGTAGTCCGTAATGGTATCTGCTGATTTCTCAGGTTATATAATTATCTACTAAGTGCCAAATTATACATCTCCAATAGCATGTTCCATAAATGTGTGTGGGGGACAAGTTCTGTTGAAAAGCACAGGTCTGTAGAAAAGGTGTTCTGCTTTTGTTTAGGTTGTTTTTTTTGCTTGTTTGTTTTCTTCCTCTCGTCCTTGGCTTCAAACCAAGCTGCTGCTAGTTTCAGTAAATCTGTTTTTCAGTAATTAGCAATGTTATGGCAGGTACCTCTGTGAGTGTGTTTGGAGAAGATGCTTCTGAGCTTTCCTGCGTGATACAAACATTACGCCGTGTACGTGTGTGGAAGGTTAATTGTGGGTACACTTATGGAAGAGAAAAAAAACTGAACACTGAGTAGTTATGTGTTGTTACGAAGCCTGTGTTGAGCTTGTGGATGTGGGTGAGCATCGTGACTCCAGTTACGCAGATGTAGCGCCAGCACCCTGAAGTAATGAAGTGTGATAAAAGATTTCTCTTTGAGGTTAACAGGTCTGTGTTTGCCACTTAATATTTAGATTAAGGTGATGGGCTAGCTCTTAACGGAGCCCTGAAATAAAGCTGTGTCTTGGAAGAACAGATTCCTGTCCCTGTATGGTCAGCCCAGTCTTCTCTTGGATATGTGAACTGGGCTCGATATGCTTGTGTGCCACCCTGACAGAGTACGTCAGACAATTGCAGGGAGACGTGCGAGTCTTGGGCTTTAAAGTGCTCTGCTTGGATCGTTGTTGCCACGTTTTCAGACGGCTCAGATCTCATTTAACCACCCTAGCATCTTATAAAATAAATCAGCATCTAGCAGCTCCAGCTGTGACACTTCTAGCAAACTCTTTTGATAATTAACTGAGAGATGAGCTGTTTGAAAACTGTTCTTTGGCAGGAGTTACTGATTGTATCTGAGCATTGTGATGTGAATATTATGCAGTTTTTGTTCTGGATTGGTGGTGGTGGGGGGGATATTATTTCTATAGTTGCCTTTATAGCACTTTTCGGTTAATTTTCTTCAAGTTAGTTGACGATACATTGAGTTACTCCTTGGGGAGTCCTGTTGCTTGTTAGTCTTGTTTTATAGAATAAATCTGATACCTGTCACTTGCTGGTTTTAGTACCTAAGTTAATCACCAAACATGTAATATACTAAATATTGTACTACCTCACTCAAGAAATGTCATTAACTTTGAATTACTTTTGCGTATCTGGTACTCATTTACTTGTTCAAAACCTTTGGAGACTCATGGGAGTGTTGAATCTTGTTTACACTGGGGAGCTGTCTTGCTTAGTTTTCTGGTTTGTATGTGATTTATTTGGTATGTGACTTCTGCTCTTTGTCATATATAGACTCATAGAATAATTAGGGTTGGAAGGGACCTTAAGATTATCCAGTTCCAACCCCATATATATAGAAGACCTTACAACCAGCTTTTGCCAGGCTTAGAGATCTGTCAAGTATTTTTAAAAGCAGTAGCTTAGTGAAAGTAAATCCAGCAACCTGTTGTCCTATAAACAGCCAGAATTAATTAATCATGGAAATATCCCCTCATCCTGCTAATATTAAATCCTCATTGTGAAAGATCTCAAACAGCAAAGAATAGTTGCATCAGAATTTGGAAATGTTTTTGGAATTAAATTGAAAACTTTTGTTTTTTTCCTTCATCTGTAAGATTGCATTTTTTTTTTTTCCTCTCCTGTTCTGTCCTTCCCCCCCCACCTTTGGTTACTGCTTGAGATCAGCAGTAGAGGTGCTTGTCAGCCTGTATGCATTGTTAGGCATTTCAAGTATGCTGTGCATCTGTGAGCTACCATATTAACACTTCGTGAAGCTCTGCTCCTGGTATAACGGAATTTTGGCCATCTGAGTCTCCAGTTACGTATTTGCTTTCACCATATACAAATCTATTGCTTTGCAAATCATCTCAGATGCTTCCCTGTCCTTTTTCAGAGAGGAGAACCTCTTGATAGAGAATGAAAAGAGCTCAAATTACTCAGCTAAAGTGAAATGAAGATTCAGAGTGAGGCGATATAATTGCTGTCTGTAAATGCATGGAGGACCTAAATATCCAGAAGGAAGGAAGTTATTTAGGCCTAAAGGCAATGCTGGCACAAAATCAAACAGATATATATTGGCCATCAGTAATTGGATGTTGGAATCTAGAAAATGTCAGAGGTGGAAGGTTCTGCAACATATTATGATGGGTATTTGACTCCCAGAATGTCCTGCTGGTTTTAAAATATTGAAGCTTAATACTTCTAGGAATGAGTATATGTGATACTTGGGCTTCCTGGCAGAAAGGAAGGGGAAAGAAAGGAAATGAAAGAAGGGGCTGGATGATTCAGGATGTCCTGGTTTCCGTTTTGTCTTGTCCTCTGTCTTCATCCTTATTTGGTGATGGGAACTCATTGACTAGAGTAAGTAAAAGCTTATAGCACGAGGTGTAGGGCCTGAAGTATGCAGATGAGGCCTGGTTCTCATTTGTATGATTTCCCTTTTTTTTTTTTTCCTTTTGTTTTTTATCTTCCTGCTTTTTTCCTTTCCCTGGCCGGGTAGTGTGAAGGAGAGTTAGGGTACTTGCAATTTAACTGTATTTATCCTGCCTGTTTTAATGACAATTTCAAAATGTTTTTCTCTGACAGTAGTTTTTATCTGTAGTGATTACTTTAGTTACTTCTGCAGGATGCTGTGGTTCTCTCTAGGGCCTTCCAAATTCCCAACTACCCTGCTGGACAATAGACACAACTTACTACAAGATTTTTCCTAAGCTTCACTTCTGCTTTTGACACTTCCCGCTGAGAAGCGGTTGTGCAGGGAGAGTGGAACCTGTGCTGCTGCTCTTGAGCTTTGTGTTGCTTCAGATCATCAGAATGAAACCAAGATGATGCTGGCCAGTTGCAGGTTTAATTATATTCTGGTACTTTTGGAACTGCACAGTTACACTTGTGCAGAGATTTTGCAGAGAAAACTGTGATAACCAAACAAAGCTGGAAGAAAATGTTAAAGCAATACTTCTGTTCTGACTGACCATGGTGGTTACTGTCTTAGGACCTAAAACAAGAACAGAATTTCCACTTTCTGTTCTTTTCAGACTTTTGACTCCCTATCCCTTTGAATGTCTTACAGTCATTACTCTCTAAATCCAGACTAGACCTAGAACATGAAGTAGAAGCTCTGCAAAGAAGCAGGAGGGTGGGTTTCCAAATAATGCCACTTTCTGTGTTACAGTAAGGGGTTTGTTCACATGAAAAGAAGGTTGCTTCATATAATTTTCTAATTGCATCTTTATAGAAAAGCAGAGGGAGGGATTGTATTTATGAGGAAGTTATTTTGATATAAAATGCTGGTGAAGATAAAGGATAACTAGTTTTATAGCTTGCTGTACATAGCAATTACATATACTTAGATATTAAATGAGATCGCAATGCTTGTTATTTTAAATTCAAACAAATACTAAATACAGTTGCTACATAAAGTTTTTAGAGATGGCACAAAATGCACCTATAGTTACATATTTCTATATTACAGCCCAATAATATATGTCAAGGAAAAATCAGTACTTGCATTCCACAAAACCTATTGTGTATAGGCGACATTACATAGTGAGCTTTGAAGTGTACTGGTCTCGGGGAAGTGCATTAAAATTTATCAGTTAAAATGCCGATGTCCAAAAGTATATGTACAGGAAAATTGATTAAACCTGTGCCTTGAGATCCTACATTATATTTAATGAAATAGAATGTCTTGGCATATAACGAAGTCTGTATTCACAGCCTATTTCAAAAGTGCTTACTAGAAAAAATGAAATAAATAGTCAATACATTTTGTCCCAGAGGACAACAATCCAATGAGCATTATAATTAGTTTTTTAGTTGTCTCTTGTGGAAGGATTACTGCTGCAGTTACCAGTATGTGTTAATGGTTATCACTGCTTCAAACTTCTGATTACAGAAGAGACTTTCTGATTGCCTTTTCTGTATTATCAGTTACATTTGGGTATGTCTACAAATTAACTTCTCTTTACTTTCACTGAGTGAAGGCAACTTCCCTGTCTCTGGTATTGGAACTTGAACCTTCCAGAAGAACTTGGGACCTTGATTAAATACAAAAATGGAAACAATGTTTTTAAATTAAGTGCCACTGACTGTG